TTGACAAAGCTTTGAGAATGATGTTAGCCGATAGTTTGTGCGTGGTTGGTTTTCTTCGGTGAAATGTTTTTTTGAAGAATAACCTACGATGAGAGTGTTGATAAAAACAGTATCTGATGATTTCAACAGGTTGAAGTAATGCTTACTGAGTGCGTAGCAGCGGTAGTCATTTTAAATGTGTTCGAAAAAGGGAATCACTAACTTGTTGTGGCCGGAGGCTGGTCGACAGTAGCTACGGACCTTACTGAAGTATAGCAGCGCTTTATGGAAGTTATTTAAAACCCCTATCTCTCTCACTCTAGACTTCTTTTTCTCTATACTTCTCTTCCAACTAATAAGAAAGTAACCGTCAAATAAAAAGAGGAAGAAGAAAAGACAACTCGACCGAAAAATGGTGGAAGTTTACTGGACCAGAGTTTAGCCATTGTGATCGCAAATCTACCAAAATCAGAGAGGCTCCGCGTATTTCTGCCATATAAAAAAAATGTAAAAGAAAGGAACACCAGAAAATAAAATAATTTTGGTCAATAAAAAAATTAACGCAAAGAGATTTTGATATTAGACGAAACCAAGCTTCGCGACAGTAGTCTGTGAGTTTTTGTCAAAAAGGAAACAGACAGTAGAGAGACAGAAGAGAAACTATTCATGCCTTCTTAAAACCGAAAAGAGAAATTGGGGCAACACCTATTTCTAAGATGACAACCAAGGTGACGTTTAAAATGTCAACTACCAAACCGAATTGAACTTTCTCCCGAAGACAAACAATAAATATATATTACTTATTTTATAACTTTGACGATGTTCGTTTATTCCAAAGTTTCCGGTAAATAAATACCAAGGATCTTTAACACCTCTCCTCAGGTTAGGTCAGCTGTAAGTCTCATATCTTTTTCATTTGTTGAGGTGTTGCATCATTTGCATAGATACTTACTAAAGGTCTGAACTATTATTCAGTAGCAACCTAACAACTTTTTAGACGCTTATCCGTTTCTTCCACTGAACCAGAGTATGTGATTTTTTCCCAAGAGATAGATGATCTCGTAGATTAAAACATTGCTTAATACATATCTGGTTGTTTTGAGTTCAGTCTCTGGGTGTAGTCGAGCTGAAAAGCCACATATTCTTGTTCAGTAGAAGAAGTGGACAAGCGACGCAAATGTGAATGACTGATGAATATTGGCTGATATAAAATATCCTCTAAGCACAAAGGCCGGAACTAGAACAAAATCCCCAAATGATTACAATAAACTCCTGAAGAAAACCGGAGGATACAACTACCGAAACGTTGCGATTATAACAACCAAGACGAGCATTGCTAATCCGAATAGTAAAGCATCTAATAATAATAATAATAATAATAATAATAATAAAAGAAGAATATTTTTTAGACAAAACTGCTTAGTGGAAAATGTCATGATGCCATTTCTGACCTTAGGTTTCTTGTCGGGACCGGAAAGAAATGAGCATAAACCAGAAACCAAAGAAAATAATAATAATAATAATAATAATAATAATAATATGGCATATGGGAACATCAACAATCCCTGTTGTAGTTGGAGCCCTAGGATTGTGTGGAAAAGATTCCAGTAGACTAATTGGCGGGATTCCTGGAAGTCCATGCCTCAAAGAGATACAAAAAATTGTCCTCACAAGTACAGCCCACACTTTACGAAGGGCTTTATCTATGTATTTTTTTTTTTTTTGTCAGTGGAAAGTGTCATGATGCCATTTCTAACCTTAGGTCCCTGAGCGGGACCCGGAAAGAAATGTGTAAACGCCAGAAATCAAAGAAAATAATAATATTAATTCCTCATCTAAAAAAAATTCATGCATGTGAAGTGTTTTGTGTAATGGATTCTCAAGAAGAGTTATTTATTTAGGTCTGGTGAACTTCGAGCTAATTCTAACGACGGGAATATTTAATAATAATATTCAACATTTGTTTGCTAGCGTGTAAAGAATTTAAGGCATGTCGAAAAAATGCACACGCACACATATACATAAATGCACACGCACACATATACATAAATGCACACGCACGCATATACATAAATGCACACGCACACATATACATAAAAGGTCAAACATAAACGAAAGGCTCTAGACAAAAAAGGGCACCAAAAATAAAATGTAAATGAATTTACGAATATGGCAGAACACAGAATATGTGTTTTTTTTTTTTTTATATAATAAAAAGAGAATTTTCAGCTAATTACGGCTGGTTTTAAGTAAATTTGAATTCGTATTGTCGGAAGTGAAAACAGATAGAGGCATGACATTGCATCATTGTCCTTCCGAATGACCATCCCGAAATCTACATGAAATGGCAAAGAGATCAAAAGACCATCAGAAAACAGAAAACACACAGAAGTTTCTCGGATTCAATACGCTTAAACTTCTTTTTATCTTCTTTATTTTAAGCTGTGAGCAATGACATTTATGCACTTTTCTCTATCATCATTTCTACGACTGTTAACTAAAGATTAACAAAGAAAATCAATTCAACATACAATATATATATATATATATATATATATATATATATATATATATATATAAAGAAAGAACAGTAAGATATATAATCCGGTGTTCTTATAGATATTTTTATTTTTACAAAATAGTGCTCAATGTAAATTTACAGATGTCAGATTTCATTGCAAAATACATCCCTACCCCTACCAAAACGTAACTAATAACTGATATATCAAAATACAGCGATAATGAACACGCAACCACCCCTTGTCTGGTTGAATTGGATTTCTCTGTATCCTTGGAAACGTGAATTATGATTTTAGCTGTGTCTTTAAAACCCAGTAATTTTAAAAGTTACTCCAAAATTCGCTTGAGGATGAAATGGAACTAATGTCTTTTTAATTTAATTACAAAATTAAATTCGGAGCTTTCAGCTTCCATTTTTGAAACATGGTTAGAACTGTGTATCGAAAAAAAAACATATTTTAAATCTATTTTTATATATATATATATATATATATATATATATATATACTGTAAAACTAATAAATAAATAATAAATTAGTTCATATTTTTACGCTTATTCCAAGTTTATTTATTATAAATGTGGTAATAATAAATTAAAGTCACTTTAAATAGGAATTCATAAGACAATTAAAAAGAAATATTGCATAGAAAACTAAATCGACAACTGTCGCTTCGCCGACGCTAAAAATTTCAAATTTCAAATCTAAATTGTTTATCCATTTAAAATACTACGTATCTGTAAATTAGAAAATACATTCAGTTATAATTAAATATATAAAGAAGAGCCTGTCAGAGTCATAAAAATGACTTCAAAGGGCAAAGATTTTTATTTATACTCTTTTCCTGTTACTGAAGGGTTGTTGCCAGACAAAAAGGGAAATTTCAGTTTCATTCAAATTATCTTTGAATGTACATTTGCGTTTAGGTATGTATATTTTAATTCAGTAACAGGTGTGGAAATAATCCTTCAAAAAACAAAAAGATTTTAAAATAATTCAACTTATTACAGAATAATTTCCGAAAAGTTCAATAAAATTTTATAATTATCTGAATTTCTAATATTAAAAATATGTTTTTTTTCTTATCTCCAACTTTATTTAATTGCTCAGCCCAGGATAGAAGGAGTGTATTATTTCAATGTATTATATCAAAATCAGTCAAATTGTGTCTATGTATGTTTATGCATTAAATGGCACAAGTACGTGTAAGTCCCTCATGCAACATATATATATATATATATATATATATATATATATATATATATATATATATATATATCAATACACGTATGCAAAGTCATACGCAGACAGTGTGACGGACAGAGAATCAATGAAATCTTTTATAGATCGCGTACTGAACTTTGTAGTGAAAGGGAGAATTAGTAGAGATTAAGGTTTTTTTTTAATTCTCAATGATTATAATTCAGTTAACGTAAGAGACAAGAGATGCCTCATCAAATCTTACTCATCTCTAAATTGCATGTTTCTGCTCTTTCCGACAACTGCTCAATTGCTTTATATTTTCAAAGATAATCTTACAGACTATTGGAGACTAGATTCGAACCCCACTACTAAGTAGATCAGTAATTTAGCTACTCAGACTATTGAACAATCCAAGTGAGAGAACACAATAATTATTCATGTACCCACATGTTTAGTGAGCAGTCATTTACTTTAAAAAGCTACGTACATCTGTAAAATACTTATGATTGTCCATTGTTTGTAACGACGGCAGAATAAATGTTTGTGTGAATTTATGGAAATAATCAATATTACACTTCAACAAATTCATAACTGTTCGTTTTACTTTTTTATGTCGTGTGTGTCTGCTTTTTAAATAAATGAGTTTTTCTTAATAGGATTTTTAAAAAACATAAATTGATATTGATAGTTAAGTTACTATTTTTTCTAAGCAGATCTCGGCACTGCACAAGGCGAGGTAGACAATGCTGTGCTAATCATTCAAGAGACTGCCTGCCTTGAAAATCAGTAATCGACATCCTGGCTGGTATGAACACCGATCAGTCACCACGGTACACGATTATTAAATTTATATTCACCTATACACAATTTCGTGAAAACTTTTTAAATTTATTTTTCTAAAAGTGACAAACAAATTGTTTAATTTTAAAAGACGAATCATTCCAAGAGTTGTTCGGATTATTCTTTGTGCTGTTTTGTTACCGAAACATTCTACCAATTTTCTTCAAACATACAAAAAATTCATGAGAAAAAAGAATTAAGTATCGAACAGAAAATTAACTCCTTTTTTGTAGTTTTGCTATGCTCATATAAAAATTCTCAAAATGAAAATTTTGAAAGTGGGGAAAAATCATTTTTTATACATAATTAATAATGTGATTATTCGTCGTAGTTGTTGGATATAGTTTTTGTTTCATATCTTTTTACTCAAATTAGTTAAATAAAAAAGAATGAAGAAAGATACATCTACTAAATTTATTATTGTTGTGTTTAAAAATAAACAAAAATATTTCCACTTACCTTATAAAATTTGTTGTCAACGCGCAGCACAATAAAAAAATCACGCACATTCTTCGCTAATTTCCTCGTTAAAGTAATTTATTAGTTTAATTATTTGTGAATTATATGTTGTCATGAAACGCTTTTTCAGTTCAGAAAATGCTGTCAACTTTGTTTTCCAGTTACTATTCTTTTAGACAAGTCTCACGGGTCTCAAAGGAGTTTTTGAATTATATTCCTATTACACAGCGCTATTGAACGGAACAAACTTACTTAAGGTTTGTTTGACGCGTGGTACGGACGTGTCCAACACAACACGTATCTTCTTAGCTTACATATTCAACTACGTACTTTTGGTGACGTTCGCACACGTACGGTATATTTCATCAACGTTGTTAATCGATTAAATCATTACCGCGTCCAAACACAGGTAACAGATGGTTCTCTCTTGAATGTCTTGGTGGGTGTTGTTGAGATACTTGCCTTAGTATTGGGGCCGAAACTGAAGACCGTGAACATTTTTTTAAATGGGGAAAAAGGGATATTATTTTATATTTTATTTAATGTAATGATAATAATTTGAAATATATAATAAATTAAATATTTAATTGAAGGAAATTATTTCATAAAAAGATACAGCTTTTTTCTTGACGAATGAGGGAATTTTGCACGAAAAAAAAAAAAAAAAAAGTTAAGAGATTTAATAAAAAAAGTTCTCTATGTTAAACATTTAAACTTGTATTAAAAAGAAAAGTTAAGAGATTTAATAAAAAAAAATAAGCGATTTTCTTCGATTTCATAAAAAAAGATATGTTAAACATTTAAAACTAAAAGAAAAAATTTGAGGAACGTTAAACATTTTGTATTGAGAATTTTCAGCTTATGTTAAACGCAACTTGTATTAAAAGAAAAAAGTTAAGAGATTTAATAAAAAAAATAATCGCTTTCTCTTATGTTAAACATTTAAAAGATAATTAAAAAAACAAAAAAACAACCGAAACGATTGATTTAATAAAAAAATAATCTAACCTTATGTTAAACATTTAAACTTGTATTAAAAGAAAAAAGTTAAGAGATTTAAAAAAAAAATATCTCTTACTAAACAGTAAACTTGTATTAAAAGAAAAAAGTTAAGAGATTTAATAAAAAAAATAATCGCTTTCTCTTATGTTAAACATTTAAACTTGTATTAAAAGAAAAAAGTTAAGAGATTTAATAAAAAAAATAATCGCTTTCTCTTATGTTAAACATTTAAACTTGTATTAAAAGAAAAAAGTTAAGAGATTTAATAAAAAAATATGAATAAATTTCTGAGACTTTCAAAATCTCATTGGCGTGATGAGGTCAATTTTCAAAATAATAAAAACAAATTTTGCACTATAGGTGAGGAGTGTTTATATCTGTTTTTATAAGACACTTTTCTTGATAATTTAAAACTTTGATATGGCAAAACGGACTTACCGATCATTCAATATCAGCAACAGTGAATGTCATTTTAATTGCAACATTGGATAAGCTTGTGAATAAGAAACAAACTTGATTAGTTTGTTATTACTTTCAAATTGCTGGGTTTTTTTTTCATCAATTATGAACGTTTTCAGTTCAAGTAGTTTGTATAAAAGGCTGAACCTGGCTGAAATACGTCGGAAGTTTACAGGAGTTGAGCCTACTAATTTGTGACTGAAAAATACCAAAAATCAGGGACGTTCCACGCATAACTTCCGTTATTAAAAAAAAATGAAAAAAGAAGAGAACATCGGAAAATAAAATAACTCTGCCAATCAAACAAATTGACACAAAGAGACTTTTAATGTTAGCTGGAACCAATGTTCGCATCAGAATCTCGGAACTTGGTCAAAACGTATATAATCTGACTAATCAACAGTAACCAATGATGTAACTCTCTGCCCCGCGTTGGTCTTCAAGTTCCTTCAGACCACCTTGGTTACCATTTAGCTGACTCTTCACTCGTTAGTGCTTGACTCGTCGCTGGTATCGTGATGGTAGGCACGATCCCACTCGACTTAGCTGTCATTTGTTTGTTCACAACCATTCACTCCTCTGACACGTTGTGTTTTTTGATCTCATAGGGTGAGACGGTCGCTAATGAAGTGAAGGCGTTTCGACAGTTCGGAGCTACAGAAAAACAAGAATCATTTGGAATAAAGAATTAACTCGGGTTAAAAATCTAACAACGATTTGGTTTATATATGATTTATTGTATACAGCGTTTTTTAACCTTCTAACTTTCTGTGATAATCAAATGATACTGGAATTGCCTTTGGAGTCTGCAGATTGTGATAGTAGTAACTTAAATTTATAATTTCTGGTCTTCAAGGCCGGCAGAAAGTCTTGGTCAGGAGGTCTCGGCAAACGATGTGGATTCCAGTAGTAGTAGTGTTGTCCAAACCTCTATGTTGTTCAAACCCCCGGCTTATATGGAGTCCTGAATCCGACAGGGGTGGAGTTGACTAAGGGTCTGGATTCGGTTGTTTTCTACCCTAAGTATCAATCTTTTCTAAATTTCCATATATAAAAATGCATTTACTCAAGTGATTTTCCAAATTTGCGGGTGACCAGCCCCTTTTGAGAGTGGTCAGAGGAATCAAGCCGCCCCTTAACTCCAACTCCCTTCACGTCTCACCTCGCACCATCATTCCATACAGGCAGTGCTAATCTCTCACTTCCTTCTCTCACTTTCTCAGCAGTTAACCTCAGCTTGCTCATTGGGCTGGTGTGACGAATCCAAATGGCGTCGCGAAAACAAAAGGGATTTTCAGTCATTAATCTTTCTTTATCAACTTGTCTCATGCTGTGATTTCTCGATCGACCATACCACTCAACCAGCAACCAGCCATGCGTGACGTGTGAAATAGTTAAGAGGTCATTTGTTAATTATATTTCTGCCCTGCTTAAGATCGAGGAAAATACAGTAGACAGACGCTGACCTATTTCTAAGATTACTACTATCCTTATCATGGTCTGACTTCAAACTACCACTAACGGAGATTTCCCCAGACTGTGACCAATATCCATCTGATTAACGAACATTTTACTATGCTGAATACCAAAGGACTCACTCATCACTAAAGAAAATAAAAATATATTATTTTATATTCTTGAGTCAGTTCGTTTTATTCCAAACATCCCAGTAGAGAAAATACCTACCACACTATATCCACAAGTCTATTTCATTGACTTTTCTGTTATATTGTTCCCCCACTTCAAGTGGATGTTGAAAAATTCTTGGTTTAATCCACTTCCTAAAATCTGACCAAATGATCCAACATTAAATTTTCTTGGTGAGTGTTTGGTGGGAGTTGACGGTGGCGAGAGCTTCTTTGTCAGTCTTAAAACTTGTCCAATGTTTATCTTCATTCCTTCATTTATGCTTCCGGCTATGTTCTGCCAGGCACATACAGTTTTATACGTGACTTACATATACACATATATATAAGACAGTGGCGTACATATAAGATAGATGCAACTACATATACATTTATATATGGCAAATCTTTTATGTTCCGTTTCTATTCAAGACGTAGGTGAACTTCACAACTTCCTAATTGCTCTAAGCAATATTTGCTTGTTTACACTCCCTCCCAGGCTCTGTTCTGCCATCCATTTACACAAGCTCGTTAGGTACGTTTCTAGCTGTTTTCACAGAAATTTCACCTTACTGACGAGTGCCCTTATCGTTCTCATTTTCCTTAAAACTGTTTCGTTCCTCATCCTCTCCATCCGCGAGGAAATTGTCCAGCATCCACTGCTATGTCGGAGAACTGATATAACATAGCAGACGAGCACTTTTGTTTCTAACGAAATTTACGCTTACATAAAGAAGGTGGTAAAAAGTCGTTTTTATTTCGGTGTACAATAACTATTCCAGTAAATATCAAATTAAGTATCCCGGTTTCTTTCACCAACTATCGAAAGCCAATATTTCACAGTGTAGACAATATGGACGCTGGTGAAATATTCGCTGTATAATTTAGCCATTATTCTACCTTCAGTGGCAATACCATAATGGCATGATAGGCCAGTTAATAACCGGTTCAATATGTGCGATATATTTCATTTTTAATTGTCTTTTTCTGAATGTTGTCTAAGTTGCATTAATGAATGCTTGGGAATACATTTATTCATGACGTTATCAAAGTTCAATTCATGGTCATTGATGTCGATTTAATCATCCCTGAGACGACTATCGTAATTGTCTAATGTAAGAAAGAAGATAAAGAGTTATAAAATTTAGACAAAGAAAACCTTAAGTAGCATTTTTAGAAGCGCAACTCATTTGTATTGAGATTGCTTCTTGCTTTGAATCCTTAGACTAGCCATCATCCGTCACATACTTGAGTCTTTTTTAAAATTTTTCCTCGGTAACGAAATGGAGAGGTCAAAGAGAAAAGGAGAAAATCTGATATAGGAGAAAATAGCGACCTTTTGTCTATTTCTCATGAACAGGCGACTGTTTTAGTCCCACGTGCCATACCTCTTCCCGGTGACTCAGTTATCTCCAAGTCAACTCTCAAGTTTTTGTTCACCACTGCAGTAGCCAGGTATTGAACTCATAACTCTTTGGGTCAAGCTACTGGATATAACCAACGCTTTTAACCACTTGACCATGTGTCTTTGTGGACTTCAGGGCATGAGTTTTGGGGACTTATAGACTTAATGTTCCAGTATCTTTTTTTTTTTTACCAGGGCTCATATTGAATTTCTTCTTGTTATTACTTTTGTCTAGCACTCCGTATTACTGGTTCCCATATTGTATTCATTTCTATGCTTGGCCGCCTTAGGGGATATTTTGTGGCCTAGCATATGTGCTGATTCCTTTAGTTTTCGTATTTTCCAATGATGTTCTGTTTATTATTTTAACTTCATCCCACTTTTGGTGGTGATCACCCTTTTTATCTCCATATGTGGTCAGTTAGGCCTAATTTTTCTATTTCCTTCGTGTTACGGCTTTACAATGTTCTTGCAGTCTTATCTTAAGGGGGCGTCCTGTTTCTCCTTTATATTTCTTACCACAGCTGCACAGGGTGGCATACACACAGTCCTTAGCGCT